CCACTTTACTCTTGCTCCCTGGCAGTATCAGGAGTAATTTCGACCGCTACATCAACCTATATACGTGCCGAACGTTACCCGGTTAAAGATTACGCTCTACAAATTTCCCAAATCCTCGCCTTTTCCGATACAGCAATGTGCACATTTTTTTTTCTTTTTCCAAATTATGTACAATATAATTGTAAATTTAGAGTGCATTTTTTAAAATTATAAATTATAAGTATAATTTTTTATTAAATAATTTATTATATAATTTATTTATTATATAAAAATAAATAAAAATAATAATATAATAATAAAATTATATAATTATATATTTATTATATAATTTTTATAAATTATAAGTTTAATTTTTTTAAATTATAAAATCACATTAGAGCAGTAAATTTACAAGAGTTTTCTCTTATTTTTATTAAAGAAAAAAAATCTGATTCTCTCAAATTAAGCATTTTTTGCTCCACTTGCGGAGATTCCTCGGAAGTCGGGAGATGATCCTCTAATACCGATTGTCTATACTGAAAATCTCCGGTCTTTCCTACCCTTCCTTACCAAATTTCTTATATTTTCCGATAATCTCTCGATCACGTCCTGATTGAGGGTCGGTCGTAAAAATTCCACTACCGTTCGTAGGTTGCGGAAGAAAGCGGTTTTATACCACCGATGTATTTCCGACTTACCGATACCAATTGAGTCTAAAGTATTTTGATGGAAACGCTCCATAGTCATATTAGTTATCGTTGCTCGTATTCAATCACCGTGTCCCAGTTCCGCTAGAAATTTCCCGATTGCAGTAAAATCCAATGTAGGAAGATAGAATAATTCTACCTGGTGTGCAAATATACATTTTCTCTTGCTCAAAGATTATTCGGCCCAAATTACTCGAATGAAAGTAATCCAAAGTGTCCCAAATAAAAAGCAAATTATGTCATACAATATGAAACAAATATAATTTTATCATATCCCGAATTTAATAAAGAAGTTTAATTAACAAAAACATTTTTGCTTTATTAAAAAAAATTTTCATCCTTCAGCTTTATCTTATTTTTAATGATTTAATAAAAAAACAGGGAAAAATTCTGTTTTTTTATTAAATTCCGTTCTGAATAATTAATATTCGTAAAGTTTTAAAAATATTTGGAGAAGAAAAGATCTTTTTGCCACTTTTTCAAGCTTTTGCAGGTGCAAAAAATCACAAATGATTATTAAATAAATAAATAAATAAATTTTACTAAAATAAATTTTACTAAAAGTCAAAATAGATGTACATAAACTCTGTGTACGATTTAGTCAGAAATGCATCGCGATGCATCGTTATATTCAATTGAGAAAAGCGTAGCAATGCCGGAAAAAGGCGCCGGGAGAAGTTCGCAAAACGTAGGATAACTTCTGAGGCGAATTTTCCGAGTTTATACCTACCGCTTTTCCGATAAAAGATGGATTTCAAAGGCGATAAATCTGCGCCCTGGCTGCATCTGGCGTTCATCGGCCAGGATCGTTTATCGATTTTATTCCCGTTTGGGTCAGAAATGATTCGCCATTACTAATCTCTCATCCCAGATCCCCTCTTTCCCCCTTCCCCTCCTAAACTCGCCGATAAATCGTATTCTTTCATTTCTTTCATACGCCTTTTTAATGAGCCTCGAGTTTGAGTTTCCCTCGGGAATAGAGCTATAAAAAAATGATTTTTTTATAACTTAACCGACATTTTTTTATGTACGTTAAATTCTGATAAACTTCACGAAATGGAGAAACGCGATATCGCAAAATCGCAAAGTTTTATTATTATTATTATACATTATTGCATTTGTCTGATCGAGTTACCGAGCATGATAATCGACGATTCAATTATATTATTATTCTATTACTTCATGATTGTTGTACAAATGATTTTTGTTTATCATTTTACTTCATATTTTTGATAAATAAAATCCACTAATGTTATCTGTAGCGAAAGATATAATTTTATTATAATAAATTTGTCTTTTGTTTGCAAAGAAAAATTTGAAATCTCGGTGGACGTAAATATTTTTTATGATTATAAGAAAAGACGATATTATTGTATTTAATATTATAATTGCGTCGGGAAGAGAGGATAGTGATTCAAAATGTTAGGCAGAATGTGAACTTTATAGTGTTACGGAAATAATGCAGGATACATCGATTTAAAGTCCGGGAAAAATCGAGCGAAATTGAATTCGCCAGCGCGGAAAGCCAACTCGACTGAGCTTCGGTCGAGATATGAGCTTTCGGAGGGATAAGAAGCTTTTAGAAGGTAACACGAGAACAGGGCGAAAGCCAAAGTAAACAAATTTATATCTGCCCACGAAGGGATGTTTTCAGAGATGAGGATTCGACGTGGAAGCGACTGAAAAATGACAACGTAATCCCGCGAGAATCTCGGCAAGAGTGAATTTTGATAAACGAAGCATTGTATATATTTCTTTGAACGCGAATTTGATGGATAATTGCTTTTTCGTCCTGAAAACTTATATTAATTAAATAATATTTTAATCCCTCTTTTAATTTAATTAAAAATAAGTTGGGACATTTTTAATATCTTAATATTTATATTTTATTATCTTAATATCAATATTTGAATTTCCAATATGTTATTTAATATTATTTATTATTTATTATGATTTATTTTATTTAGTTATTATTTATTTAAAATTTATTTTATTTATATTTTATTTCAAATTAATTTTATTTTTTATATTAAATATACATAACGTATTCTTTATTGTATTAAACATAATATTTAGACACACATATACGTTTCTAATTTATATAATGACAATAAAATTGTGTGTGTTTGTGTTAGTATATTTTTAGAAAAATCTTTCTTTTTTCTATATATTCTTTTCTGGAATATATATATTTAAAAACATACAAATTGAATAAAAAATATATTCATAAAAAATATATATCTAAATATTTCTAAATATTTGAAAAAATTAAAAAAATTTTCTACATATTTAGAAATATTTAAATATATTCCTTTACGTAAATTATGTATAATATCCCACATACTGTTGCCAATCATTGCATCATGAAAGCCATTTCTTGTAATGGCATGATGGCAAGTCAGTGAGAAAGCAAGAGTACAAGAATAAATCATTGATTTTATCAGGGATTTTATCAGGGATTTGAGACGAAAGAAACGCGCGAAATTCTATTTTATATATTGTACAAGGTTTCGGGATGAACAAGACCAGAATTGGGACTGCAAAGCGACAGTTCAAGTATGAAGTAAGTCACAAATCACGAAATTCCATACTCAATATCGTTTTCTCGATTCACCAGGAAAATAGCGGGAATTACCTCGAAGGAAGAAAACGAGAAATTTTCTCGCCGATTCTTTCACGCGAAGCATCTCCGGTAAAAGGACATCTATAAAGGATCATTTTCTCGCTGGTAGAAATGTTTGAAACGTAACCCATCAATTCAGAAATTCGCTCGTTATCTACTTAGATTTTTTCGATGAAACGAACAAAAAATAAAAAACTAATCTAGATTATATTTTTAAAAGCGATTTTTAAAATCGATATGTATGATCACGTATCGATGAATATATGGAATATACGCGCTGGAATTTGTTGAGTGGATTTTAATGAAAACTTTACGCGATGATAATATCCTTTATCTCTGTCCCTCTTTCTCTACCGGGCTATTTTCTTTTATTTCGAAACGTCCGGATCTACATCTGCGGATTTACTTTTTTTTCCTTTTCCTTATGATGAAGTACTATCACGGGTATGGACAGGAGACAACAACAACGAGTGCGTCATTCGTCATTGGTCGAAATACCCGTCGCAAAATATCGATCATCCCTCGATGGCGGAGATAAATGCGGCCGCGAAGTATTATTTATGCATTGGCACCGTAGCGGATTTATTTTTTGCATAAATTCCACGCGCAGTAATGCATTGTCAAAATTTTTATTATTAAACGACATTCGAGAATTTAGTACTTCACATGCTTCACATGCTAAGAACCTTTTAATCATTACAAATGTAGATGACATTTCCATTTTTTGCTTAAGTTAAGCGGAAAGTTAGTCCTTTCGTCGAAATTGCGTAGTAAGAAAAGTAACGAAGTTAATTAATAATATTCAGAACATCTGTAACCTATATTTGAGGCCACGTAGAATATTCTCTTGTTTTCCCATGCATATTGACTTACTTCTTCACACTGTGCGCCAGTAGAAGAGCGTCGGTGCAAGTAGCACGAGTCGGCGATGTGGTCAGACGAGAGCACAGAATTAGCCTAAGAGAGGCTCGCGACTATAATTCATGAGATCAATCGATAATAAAGCCGTGTCCATGCGAGAATGCGAACTTTGTCGCGTTTGTCGCCGCGCTTAAAGCCTATTTACACGAGAAGGATCAATCAATCAATCAATCAATCAATATTTAAGTGTTTTCATAGGATCAACCCTCCCACCGTGTCTTTGAACATTAATAGGTACCATAAATTTTGCTAAGCTTTTGATAATCATAATTATATATTTTATTAAAAAATATAAACGCGAAAAATGAAATTAATAAAAATTAATAAAATATTAATAAAAATTTTTAAAAATCTACTAATTTCTATTTTATTAATAAAAATTAATAAAATAGAAATTAGAAGAAACTAAAATAATTAGTAGAAATTAATACATCTAAAATAGAAATTAATAGAATAGAAATTAAGAAGGTAATTTTTAAAAATATTAAACATTAATTTCTATATAACTTGCGTTAAAAATTTATTACACTTCTGATAATTTAATTTATAAAACTATGAATATTTCTACACACATTTAGATATGAAAATTCTTATATTGAATTTCCTAAAAAAATTCTCGACGATCCCCTTATTTATTTGATTCCTTAAGGATAACGGAAACTGATTCGTGCGCTGTTCCCTGTCTGATCACAAGCCGGCTCTCGACTCACGTTGCCGCGAAACATGTGCTAGCATCATTGAAGCAGCAAGACGCGATTTTCTGGTTTCAGCGGAGGCAGGAATCGCGGCGGCGGCCGAGATGAAACAGCCGGAGGAGAGGACGGAGGAGGAGAAAATGGCGTTGCTGGGCAGACCGCGGCTGGGCGAGGTATCCCGGGCTCAGATCAGGATCAAAGAATCCAAAGAGTTCAAGAATACAGTGGATAAGCTCGTCCAGCGAGCAAACGCCTCCATAATACTCGGTGAGTCTCTACCTTAAATCTTTCTCTCGAGATACAACCGGTATAAAATACGGAAGATTCCGTAGAGAGCATTAGCCACTTATTTGGAGAAGGAGCGAGGGAAAAAGTCTGTTTTCAATTCGAATGGATCAAATTTAAACATTTAAACCGTGAACGCAAAGCACATTTCATTTTTACAGCGCCGTAGATAAAGTTAAAGGGAAACTTTATCCTACAAGATTACGAATTGTATTCGTCGAGGCAATAAATAAAAGTCTGTAATTTTAATTTTTTAGAATCCTCTTCCTTTTTCAAACGTCTCTGTCCTCCCGCAGGAAAAATCCTTTCAACTTGTAGCGTTCTCGTTTATGAGAGGAAAAGTTTATATAGCTGTATAAAACGCATGAAATCTTTCACGTCGTCGAGGGATTCTCTCTCTCTCTGTCTCTCTTTTTTTCTCACCAACTGTCGTAAATTTATTATTGAACGGTACAGAGGCATCTAAGCGAGCTTAAACCTAACCTTTCCCGATGGAGGATAAAATGCGCATCGCGGGACTCGCGAACATCTAGATTGGAGCTCTTCAGAAATGCAACCCCCAGGAATGCGGCGCGTTATGCGCGGGGGATGGGGGTGGGGGAAGGGGGGGGCTCGTGAAATTCAAGACTCCCCGGACGCCATATGCATGATTCTCACGTTTCTGCATTTGCTGCATCCTCCGCGCGCATCCCCTTTTACCGCACCCACGCTATGCGGCCGTTTCATGTCCCGTCGTACTTCACTTTTCGCATTACTTCATATTACATGCCATTTTTTTTCCATTCCACGTCGTCCTAGACGCGCGTGCGGGCTGAAACGGTAACTTGAAAAATTTAATAATAAATTGCAAAATACGCGCGGGCCTGTATCGTAAGGCGATCGTTCCTTTCACGTTTCATGCTTTGCTAGAAGAAGAAATTAGAAATGATTAAGAAATTTAAGAAATTGTTAATTAATTTGTGAATAAGATCGTTGAAGAATTGAAATAAGCATGAATAAATAAATTGCAATAATCGTAATTTAATTAATTTTTTTAGTAATTTAAATAATTTCTGCCATCTTTCGCAATCAACAACACGGAATAAAATCCCTCGCGAACAAGATCTCGTTGTCACCCCTCTCGTACTATGAATACCGTAAATTTCCAATGGAAGCCTCGAAAATGACACCCTGTGTCGGATTCGCTTTCGTTATCGACTCCCAACACAGAAGACAATAGCACGAATCTCTCTGCAGCTATCAGTTGCAGCAAGAAGTCTGCTTTGTTCATTTCCTCCTCTTGCGCTATTCCGGAGGTTCTCCTCTTCTTCGTGTTAGGGAAACTGTTCCGTGCGCTTTTCGTTCCTTGAAGACATCTCCGGGAAGCTTCTCATCGGCGAAAGAATCGAGAAATCGCACGTGACAACGTTTCCTATCACGATTTTTAAAATATCTCTCCTTTCTCTGCTTCATTCTCTTGAAAATGAAATCTTTTCTCTCATTCTCATCTTCTTTAAATCATCCTTATAGAATTTTTTTTTATTTAATTATTTGAAGAAATTATTTGAAAAAAATAGTTTTTCGTATTATATGAAAAAATTGATTTGTCGTCGGCAAAACAAATTGCTTGTATATCGTAATTTTACGACAAAAAATTATAAACATCGACGAACCGTTCAAAGAAAAGGAAGAAAAAAATAATTAAAATATAGCAAATACACAAACAAGAAATTTCAACAATTGTTACACGTCTAAATCTTTCTCAATATTTGAATAAATGCAAGAGTACAAATATAAATAAATAATTATTCATACGTTCAGATAAAATATTCAAGTAAAAATGTTTCGGATGTATGTCTAAATATAACAAATCGAACGAAGTGAAATTGTTAATATCTGTGTGTGTGTGTGTGTGTGTGTGTGTGTGTGAAAATGAAGTCGACTGGGGACGCGGAAAATATCGTATTGCTCTATTATACTGCGCTTTTCTTTGTTCGATTTTCCTTTCTGCATTTTCTGCCTTCATTCACCTTGTGAAGTGGAATCGCTCAAAGCATTTTCGACTGTTGCCTTCGATAAAACGCTTTATGCACTTGTTCGATATACTTGTAGGTTTAAGTAGATACGCGAATATATACATAATAAATTTTAATTTACACATTTTATCAGAATTGTCTTTTCTGAGAAAAAAAATGTATTTCCTTTATTGATTTATGCGTTTAATAATAATAAGCAGAAGTTTTCGTTTACTAAGCAATTTTCCAATATATTTTTTAATTTAATTAATTTTTCAAATATTGTTTCATTATTTCAAGAATTAATTAATCCTTTTATAAAATATTTATAAAGATATAAAATCTTAAGCTAGAAATCAATAATTATTTATAAAAATATCATCTAATCTGTCATTATCTTTTTCTTCTTGTTTTATATTTGAATTTTAAAATACATTTCCAGGCACAAGCTCTTGGAAGGAACAATTTACGGAAGCGATGACCGTCAGCGGGGGCGACGAAGGCGAGGAGGGTGGTCAGCCCTCTTCACCATCGTTGATGGATTATCTCATGCATTCGCTTACCATCTTCTGGAAGGTTCTCTTCGCCTTTGTTCCGCCTACCGGTGAGTGGCAATCTCTCCTGCATTCGTATCAGCACATATTTTATAAAAGAATAATAATTGTTTAATTCTATTAGTTATTAAATTGTTAGACTTGAAGAGATTTATTTCTAAAATAAATCAAGCTTTAGAGCAGTTTCTATTCATAGTTGGAATAAAATGAAGACGTATGCAGATATGAAAAAAGGGAGGTTTTCTCCCATTTTTTGCGAAATAAAATATTCTTTTGAAATTTGATAATGTATTTTGGAAATACTTGTGTGTATTTTTTTATTGCATATCTTATTTATTATCTATGAAAAAGAGATTCTCAGGAAATTTATTACATATGTATATAAATAATATATAATATTATACATATATAATAAATTTATGACTGTAATAAATGTATATAATTTATATAATAAACTTAATAATTTATCAATGTAATATATATATATATATATATATATATATATATATAAATTTATTATTGCGATGCTTTATGGCAAAATTGATGGCAGTGAAGTACGTGTTCGCTATCGCTAAGCAGTTTTATAAAATCGATAAACGTTACGCGATGCGAAAAGATGTTTTTAGCTTGCCCCCGAGGTAATAATTTGCTCGCAAATGCGAATGGTGGCCGCAATCTTACGTGAAAACGACGTTGACAGACACAAAATTGCAATCGACTTTGACGCGATGGAAGGTAAAGTGAATTTTGATCGAAACGCATCTCACCGGCGTTTATGATGGTGCAATCTGCAAGACGAAAAGGGAGGGGCACTGAATCTCGCCTTTCACATCCGGACTTTGATCCGACTTTCTGAATATCTCTCTCCTTGTATAAAAAAAATTAATTAGAAATTGTTTTATAGATTAATAATTTAACACACAATTTAATGTATATCTTCTTCAAGAAGTAATTACAATTTTAAAATTAATGTACTCCTCCCCAGACACGCACATAGGCTTTTTAATAATTTATTTTAACGATTAAATTTTTTAATACTGAAATTTTTTTATGAATACATAAATACTTGAGGAGAAAAATGTATCAACTTAAAGCGAAAAAGCTATTATAGTTTCTTCTCTTTTAGTTTGTAAGGAGCATGAAAGACAATTCTTACTGTTCCTGTCATTTTATTTCATAAATTTTTCTTGGATTTTCCCCAAGCGCTTTTTCGCTTCTCAGTTTCGTTTAATTCGACTTTTCTTTAATTTCCGACTTTCCCTTTGTTTTCTCTTTTTTTTTTAAGCAACGAAAGGGTTTGTCCGCACCCTTTAGTCACGACACTGCTTCCATCGGGTGGAAGAAAACGAGGAAAGATGGCGGGGAGGGGATAAAGGGATGAGGGGAAGATGTGTTTTATTTCAGCGAGCACAATCGCGAAAGCCTGCTGAACTGGCAAGAGCTCTGGAAACTACTGTATCGAGCAGCGTAGTTTCACCCTGTTTATTCTTCTCTTCTTTCCTCCCTCTCGTCGTTCTTATAAATCAACGCTTCGTTACTAGATGCAAACCTGCATTTATTCCAATCCTTCTCGCCCTACTTTTCGCGAGAAAGAAAGCTTGGATAGCCAAAAGTTGTCAAAATAAGAAACTTTCTTAGCTTCTTTTTGTTAAAAAAGGTAAAGAGACCTAAGGTAGAATAAATAAAGACATTCCGATTTTCCAAATAAAATCGAAAAATTGCAATTGAAAAATTAATTGAATAGAGGAAATAAATAAAGAACGTGACGAAAGAGTTTTTTCTGCGATTGGAAATAATAATTTTATTTTTTCCAATTGTTTCACTTAAAAATCGAAATATTTTATCTACCCTCATAATTTTCAAATCACCCAAATTCTAAAATTATGCAACTGCTTTTTGCTTGATTTTAAAAAGATTATAATTATATTTTATTTTAATTGCATTCAAAGAAAGATTTTTTAGTGATGATGTAAAGGAAATTGGCTGGTAAAATTTGAAGACGCGAGACTCGAATTTCGAAACACGTAATATGCGAATTTTATACATACGTGTGCGCTAATATTTCAGTTTCGCGGCTTTTTGAAAATGTTAGAAAATCCCATGAATACACACATATACTTCTACAGAGATAAATGCACGACATACATGCAAGATACACACGCGAGTCGTTCTCCGCTTTTCCACGAAATTTTCGCGTGATTTATGGCGACCTGTACCCGCATACTCTTTTCCAAAGTAATTTTCGTTCGCAAAATTTACGACAATAGCTGTTTCGGGCTCTGTACGGTGGATTCAAGATACTAAATAAGTTTTTCCCAATAAGCGTTAGATATTGATAGATTTGTTGAGGCGGAAATGGTACGTTTGCTTCAGTAAAAAAATCAATAAACTCCCTTTATGAGAAATTTTTTGTTATTATTTAAGATAACGTCATATTTTTAGTGTAATTTTTAATTAAATAGTAATTATATTTGCCAACTTGCGAAAATAAATAGAACAGTTTTGCCTCAATATCAAAAAATAAATAAAAATAAATAAAATATAAAATGTAATATTGTAAAATATAAATGTGTAAATATAATTCTTTTCTGTAGAATTATTAATTAATAATAAAATAGTAAAAACAATAAATAAAATGAAGGAAATAAATGTAAACACCGAAAAATGTAGCCTAAAATAAAAAGTAGAAATTAAAAATGACATCTGCATTAAGCAAACGATTATTAAAATATAAAGTATATTTATTTTTTATAGATATATAATAATTTTCCTTAAAATTTTATTTTATATTATATAAACTAGTGCTACACTACTGTTAGATTTATATTAAAACTGACTTCAATATTTCTCGATATTTAAATTTATGGAGTTACATTCGGTCCTTTGAGCAAGTTTTCGAGAGTCTGTTAATTTTTCGATAATACATAACGTCATCAATAAGATTTTTGCTTGAAAAAGGCCGTGAAACATATTTAAATCAGTCGAGTTAGCGAGAAATTACGGCAAGCGTGCTGCGATAATATATATCGGCCACATGTTAACAGTAAAACTAACCGCGTGTTTACAGAGTCTTTAGCTATATTTACGCCTGCATCCACCGTAAACCGTGCCTTCCCATAAAGATTTCTAATAATAATTTTCTCTTGTTGTGTCATACACATACATATGCACGCATACAAAGAGAGGAAATGCCATAAATCTCAATTCGATGCTTCGGCGGTAGCAAAGTTTGAGGTCTTATCGACTTTATTAATTTCTCGAACTTTATTTGTTTATCTTCATTAGTTTCGAAGACGTACAATGTATTGAAATTTGAATTTATAGGTAAAGTTGTGACAAATATTTATCTGCCAGATTTTCCATGAAATTTAAGGTAAATGTGCATTAGAGAGACACGTGTGGAGAGATTTTTGGTGCAGGTGAAATTTGGTTCGAAGTAACGTGTGTTGAGAATAATAGGTCGACGTCCCTGTACCGTGTAACTGATTTAGTTATACAGTTCTGGACGGGTTGACAACTTTCCACGCGAAGCGTGGATCCATCAGCCATCGTCCGTTGTTTTCCGCACGAGCAAGCTCCGTAAAAACACGGTGAGCTCGATAACTTTCCGTAAAGCAAGGTGCACCACCCGTCCTCCTATGATTTGCGTGAGAACCAAAGTCCATCAAAAAAATAAACACAAATTTCAATACATCACGTACGTTCTAAGCTAAAAATAAATAAATAAAATTTATTATATAAATTATTATTATAATAAAAAGTAGAAATTAATTATTATTATTATTATTAAATAAATAATTATTATTATAAATAAAATTATAAAATTGTAAATATAATTATTATAATTATAAATAATTATTATTAAATAATATTTTTGGATTTATGAGCCGTGAAAAGTGTAATATATATTTCGAGTTGTCTTTTCAAGATATTAAAATAATCAGTTTATTTGAGATTACTATTTTTTATCGTTTATGGATTAAAATTAAAATGTATGTATTAAAATTAAATTCTGAATGAAGTTATAAAATAAAGTCTTCCATTATGTATTAATGTGGATTTAACAATGTTTGTATTTCAAGATTTTGTTTTTCAATTATTTCTATAGAAATGGGAGCGTTTTATTATTATCACTTAGAGCTTTATATTTATTCGATATTAAAACGTTAAATTCGGTAATTGTAAAGATTGAAGTACTCGAATTTTAGATTGCATTTAAAAAAAATAATATCTCGTTGTATGTTAATTATTTTTGAAGTTGCTATAGAAAAATTCTTAGAATTATTATTATTAGTATTACTCTTCTTGTATAAGATTCTGTTGTGAAATTGGCTGTTGCAGCGGTGGTTAAAAATTAGTATAATTGTCTAGTTGCGGCATTTGCGATTATTTCCTTGAAAAAATTGCATTAGCACTAAAACTGCACTATCTTCTATAACGAATTGTTACAAAGTTGTATCATTTTTTTATGGCAGCCGTTATCTGTCCCATCTCCCGAGAGAGGAACTGGATGAAAATGTCAGTAGGGTTTGTTTGTAGATTGTTCCTCTCACCTTTTTTTCTGCATGACACTGATGAATAACATTCCGGATAAGCTAGGGACCCAAACCGGAACCGGAACCGATAGGCGTTACATCCTTTTTTGTTTTCGCCAAATCGAAACCCGTATCGAAATTCTACTAGGTTTATACATCATAACTGAATCGATTAAATTATTTTGATCTGTTCTTTTTTTTTGGCTACACACGCGCAAAATAATTTGAAATGTTTATTTTTACTATATTTATATTTAAGTGTATATATGTGTGTGTATAAATTACTTGCCAAAGTTGATTTCACCGAAAATAATCGCGGCTAAAACAGAATTATAACGTGCCTAACGTTATGCGTGATTTAAATAACTTAGATGAGATTAAACTGAAGTAGCTCAATTATTTCCAAGAGTAAATACACACGAGGAAAAAATTACGTAGAAGCTTAATTGAGAGCTCTCGAACGTGCGGTTATGTGGTAATTTGCGTTGGCGTATTATGCAAACGAAGAGCATCAGCACATTTTGTAATTCGCACACAGCTTAATTATGTATCATGCAAAATGATTAAAGCATTCCTTTGGTTGTATTTAACAATGTTTTTTTTAAACTTCAAAAACAACATTGTTGATTTTCATATATTTATTTTACTGAGATATAAATATTAGTAATCTTCACAATTAATAATTCAATCAATTTTTTATAATTAGCCTGTGTGTAATATTGTAAAATGAATTTGTCCCATATTCTTTTATCTCCGTATTTTTGCATATTAATAATTGCATATATTAACTAATTATCCAATTTTTGGAATACTTTTCACTACGTTTGCGTAGCCAAGTTTGATTTAAAATATGAGAAAATAAAGATAGCATTATTTCGTTAAATTTTCAGATATTGCCAGCGGTTACTTATGCTTCATCGTCAGCATCCTAGGGATCGGTGTTGTGACGGCAGTAATCGGCGATGTTGCCTCTTATTTCGGTTGCACTTTGGGCATTAAGGATTCCGTCACCGCGGTGGTATTCGTCGCCCTTGGTACCAGCATCCCCGGTAAGTGTCAAACAAAACGCGAGCTACAGGAAATTGCTGACAAAATTATTTTCTTCTTTTTTCTTCTGGCACAGTTTATTCAGATTATAAAGCAAATAACATTTATCAAATACTCTTTATAACGCTCTATAATTGAACAAAAAAGTATTATAATAAAATTATTTAATTCGAATAATGTTAGATATTTAGTAATATTTATTGTTCAATGTTTTCAATAATGGGATTGTTGTGTAAATTTTATAACTAAAAATTGTTCATATTATTTATTTTAAATGATCTAGTTACTATCTCGTTCTTGACAATAATTGCTAAAATACTTCTATTTTTTAAATAATTTTAAAATTATTATATAATTCATATAATTATTATATAATTTATTTTAATTATTTTGTCACAATTTTGCTAGCTTTTATTATCTCGAAGAAAATTAATATGGATGAAATATAATAGATTTACATTATACGATTTTTTTTTGTATTCTTTTTCCTAATGAATAGCCTTCTGACAAGCTTCTCTCGAATAAAAATGAATAAAAATGAACGCTGCTAATTGTTGTCAAAACGTTATTTATGTCGTAAGAAAGTTGAATGACTTTCGGAAATTCCTCGTTGTACAATTTGCGCAGCAAATCTTAATTCTCGTTCTAAAATTATTGCGATGCAAGTATCCGCGCTATATTGTATGTTTACTTTGACGTTTATTTCTGTTGCATATGATATATTCATCGTAAATGTACGCAGCACCTACATATAAACTGTAATCAAATAGAGATTGTTATTTTCATGGAAACAGCGATGTAATTTTGCAATAACTTGATACATTTTTTTATTATTACAAAAAAATATCAAAAGAATATTAACAGATCATTATCGGTGAATGATGAAGAAAATTAATCCTATCTCGCATTGTTCGCAATAAATATTGTTTTGTAAGAAAAAAATATTATTTATTGGAACAGATGGGGGGAATGATAGAATATATTAGGGGAAAAAGAGAGAAAGAGAGAGCAATATTCATAGACAGAACGATATTAGAGCGATTAATATGCCTCTCTCCTGTTAGTTTACCTTCACATCTCACATTGGTCGCATTCCACTTATGGCGTCCGCCATATTGCGACAGGATTTTGGGATTACAGGAGAACAGCGATAATTTATTGCAGCTGGTCTTTGTAGTCCAGGAACAATGGCCGCCTACGATCCGTGTCCTTTCGTATACGGGGTGGAACGTTTGATGCGCGCGACCATAAGTTTGGATTAAACGCCTGTATAGCCCGGGAAAGTTACAGAAACGTTGCCGAAAGGTTGCAAGTACGTCACTCGATATTGCCGCAAGGTCGTTGTAAAATTGCAGCGAAATTAGAATGTCCCTTCTCGGGAAGCTTACATTGTAATGCAATTTATTTGCGTTGATGCAACGTTTCTGCAAACACGTATGCACATGATGTTACACACAGTGCAGAGATAATCTTAACAAACAGGAGATGTTTAAAATATAAAAAAGATTTGCATCACTTTTTTTATGCACATTTTTTTCGAAAATAAATTAAATGAATAATGAGTGTGTTAATCATAATTAATTGTAATTGTAATTGTAACATTATATGTAGAATAAGATCAAGTCTCGCCCAGATATTGAAAAGTTTCTGTATTTTTCTAGAGACCCAAGACGTGCCTGGCCGCGAAATAACGAATGACTGATCGAAGGTTAATAAGGTTATTAGCTTACTTGAATGTTCGTATTTTCTTTCAATATTTTCCAGGTATACACTTTTCACTCTCGTCTAGTCTGAAATTAGTGATTGGCATTTTTTTGAAATTTGTCCTTTGGCTTCTATTACACTCTTAGCATCTTCATTACCTTTGTCTGACGGAATTAAATTCAATATATAAAAGACAAGGCATTTCTTTAACATCCTACGAGCTTCCAATATATTGTAATCTTGTTGGAATTTTTCATTTATATCTCTTTCCAATGCCTCTGTAACATTGCATTGCAAACATTGATGCAACTTAAATATTTCATGTCTTGTGATTCCTTTCGAATTTTTGAAGAACTTTACGTGACAATTTAAAAGATTGTTATAAAAAAATAAACACTAGAGGGAAGTTTTTAATATCTTCATTTCATTTAATTGTACCAAAATCAAAAGTGCGCATTTAATTGCCCGATAATTATTGAAACGCTCGAATAAGTATCTTTAACGAGAGATCAATGTCGATATTTGTGTATTAAAATCGTAATATTGTTAACCCCTAACTTTTGTACTTGCCTACTATTTTCATATAAAGTCCTATTCGTACGAAACAAAAGCATTTAATAAATCGCTTGAGTGGGCGTTATCAAAAGCTATTAAAAGCTTTACGATAGCTGTAACATTTCAAGTTTCTGGGTCAATAGGTTACCGTCCAAAATTTGCATCCAAAACAACGGCTGCTTTCTATGAAATTGATTATCCTAAATATGTCTACAAAATATAAATGCGCAGTGAATGCAACTACTGCAATTTAACATCAAGAATTTATGAAGAGATATCTCTTTAACTCTGATGCAGTTTTAACTCTCATCATTTTTAAAGACGCATCCCCGGTGTTCTTTCTCTTGGAAACTTTTGCATTTGTTATGAATAAAAGTACATATATACAGGGTGTCTCAGACTTAGTGAAACAGCCGTTAATGGTAGATTTCTGAGATGATTTGAAAATGAAAACCTTAATACCAAAATGTTGCGGAAGATGTAATTTCGACGATACAAAAGATTAAAGATTACCAATCGCGTTACGTTCTCCTGTGCTCAAAGACATAGCGCATCAAGGGGATTGCGAAAATATCGATATCGATAGAGAGATTAATATAAAATAAAAAATAGGATTCTGCAATGAGCGCGATTGTGTCTTCGATGCGACAGTAGTTTGAACATTTTTATGAAGTTTTCCTCAACATTTTGGTTATTAGAATTTTCGTCTCCCCAAATGATCTCGGGAATCTGCTGTCAACGGCTGATTCGTTAAGTCTGGGACACCCTGTATAAAAGTAAATATATTCTATCGATGAGATATATAACTTTTTCACTTCTTCTTTTCTCTTGTTGTGAGGTATAAAATAAAGCATGCATTTTGTTGGAAACGGTTATACATATATATCATAAGTTAAAAAATTCAATGAACATCCCTGTTGTAGAGAATATATTGTATCGTACAATTTCTTCCACTTTTATTCTCTATCTCTTTCTCTTTCGGAAATATTTTCCTGTTCTTTCATATGTGCAACCATTCTGGAGTTTCTTAAGGAAAATTGACTCTCTCTGTCTCTCTCTCTTTTGATCTTGATGCCTGATTTTCAAAATATATCGTTGTTTCACGATATCAGTATCTTCATATATATTTTTTTTTGTAGTGTTGAAATGTGATCTCTTGCTTTCCGTAGATCGCATAACGGAATATGCGCTTCAAAATTGTATCTGTCCCGGAAGCTGAGCCATCACGTCCGAATATCGACAAAATTTGCATGACGTATTGGCTTCCCGGCTAGATTACTTAAGTCGCTGTGCTCTCCTTTTACTACTCTCTCTTTCTCTCTCTCTCTCTCTTTCTCTTCCTTTTCCTCTCCATCTCTCTCTCTAGGTGTTTCTTCTCCTCGTAGAAACTCCGCAAGTAACTTTCTTCTCCCAGAAACTCATCAATATTTATGTCGGAGGATACCTCCGATCTCCCAAAGCACCGCTTGAGATCGGTTCAACGAGATCCTTCTTTTCGCGCATCGCCGACAAAAAAAGCACGGAGAATTTTCCTGAATATCATCTATACAGGGTGTCCGAGAATCACACGCAATATTCGACACCATGCGTCGTGATAATTGCTATTAATCCCACAAGTTATTACGACTATTATCACTACACTCATTAAATTAAATACATCAAATCAAAAGATACACGACGAATTTTTTGTACAATTATGTGACTAATACAATAGTACTACGTTTTATACAGACAAGAAGTGTAGCTCTCCAAGTCACAGAATTTCATAATTATAACATAATGTTATAAATAATTGTACAAATTCCATATTCAACATTTTATATCAACTGTTTTCACAAATAAAGCCCTATCTCTATTTTCTTTTTTTTCTTAATTACTGATTGTGATTAATCATAGCAACATGTTATAAATTCAGCTTACGATTGACAATTAATGAGCCTCCTAAGCGTGATAATTTTATTAATCAATTACCACAGCAATCGTTACAATAATTAATTATTGCTTTGTATTAACGCAAGACTGACTATCATTCACGGCTGATGAATTATTGAGCATACTATTGTGACGACAGCCAGTAGTAAATATCAACGGCGTATACCGGCGACGTAAGCTCAGCGTAAACAATCGCGCTCACTACATTTGATTGATTAATTAGCAAGCGAAGAGTATACTGGAATAATGGTAGCGTAAAGCGGAGAGGAAAGTAAAAATTACAGGAAACGCGATAATGAAAGATCCAAGTTTTATCGATCGGAGGCGATGGAAAAAATTTTTCTCAAAATACATAAATGCGCGATGCAAGATCTCTTCTCGAACAATTATTCGTTAATTATACGAGAATCTCATTTCTCCGGACAGAACGCGACTTTAAGGCACCTGTCGCAGCCTCGCATCCGGGACATAATTCCGGGAGGAAGACTTGAATTGAATTTCAAACGCGCGCGTGTTGCCCCGCGTTATTACGCCACGTTTCGCGAATCTATCTCGTGACGCGGGATTTTCTTGCCCGTCGCTTCACATAACGATGGAACTCACTTTGGGTCGAACTTGTTCCGCTGCGAACTGCAAACTGGTATCGAATCTCTCACGTGCTCGGCGCCAGCGTCAAAGCATCGTTCTGCCGCAAATCGTTCTGCCTCGGTGGAGCCAGGGGATCTTTGATTCCCCGGAATGCGCCCCATAAATCCACCCCCACGTCGTAATGAAACGTAGTTTTATCTCGCGAACGAAGCGCGAATGAAGCGCGCGAGTCGCAATAAAAAGCGTCACTGGGTTAAGGTTGACGGTGGACTCTAATAGTTTAATTTAAAGCCTTTTTTTCTTCGATTCAGAAAATACGTTTACGAATAAATTTTTGTAACGCTATTTTTCAGAATTATCCTGTTATACGGAGTTAAAATAATACATACGTATTTGCATGAAGGATGTAAAATATGAGAATATATAGGATGTTTCTTAATAAGTGCGAAAAATTTTTTCGATGAGATGATTCTTTGTCGGAAATTAAGGAGGATTTTTCACATAAAACTCCTCCAAAAATTAGGTTTTTACGTTTTTATAATTTTGTTTTTGTTCCAATTTTCCCAACATTTACTCTAATTTTATTTTTATTTTAAAATTTAACTTCTCGTAATTCGAATTGTTATTTAGCATCGTGCTGTGCAAGAGAACGTATTTTATTTTTTTTCTTGAAAACTATTAATTTTATGAAAAAATAAAAGAAATAAAAAAGCTTCTAAATCAAACTTTTTAATACATATTTTTAGATGATCATATTCCGGCCTATTAAAAAGTTCTAATAAAAAATTAAATAGGGAGTTAGTGCTAGTTTCATCTTCTTATAACAAAATGAGAGATTTCAAAAAATATTAATAAATAACTTTTACTAGTAGAAAATATTCATCTAATTTCATTTCTTTAGCTTGTTCCAAATTTGAGAAAAAATAAAAACTTAATTTTTGTAGGAGTATATGTTTATATGAAAAATCCTCTTAATTTTCGACAAAAAATCGTCTTCTAAAATTTTTCACACTCATTAAGAAACACCCTGTATAATAATAAAATAGTAATATAAAATAATAATAATAATGAAATAATAATATTAATAAAAGTAACATATTAAAAATGATATAACACTTGGGTGAAATGTTTTTCTCGGTTTTTTGTTAAATATCTCTAAATTCTGATATATAAATGTCGATAGACGATTCCATTAAAAATGAGCGATGAAAAAATGATAACGGAAAAAAAATAATCTCAGAGAATAAATGGCTACCGATGTATGCGCACAATACATTTTTCGGTCATCGAAATATCTCGGTCGTCGGCCTTAAAAACGCGATATTGTTACGCGCATTTGAAACACAATAACGATATATCGAACTGTGAATTAGTTTTTTTTTCCTACTAAAGCTGCAACATTCTATCTCGAGTTATATTATTAATGCAATTTACAAATCTCAAGAAATTTTAATAAATCTTATAATTATTAATAATTATATATAATAATTATATAAAAAATTATAAAATCTCAAGAAATTAAAAAATGCAAGAAATCAATTATTTTTCCCTCTCTCTTAAAAGATAAATTTATAAATAAATATATCTTTAAATCGAAATATGCAAGACAGTATTTCTTACAATTAGTTTTTTCATTTTCCTTTACTTTTTCGTGTCTAAAGTCGAGCTCTACGTGATCTTAAAAGATTGGTCCCTTAAAAAAATATATATTGAAAATCACATTATGTATTTTATTTAAAATAGATAAAATATCGTTCTACTTATATATATATATATTACAAATATGCTGTACAATATTCCGTACCGTAATAAATGCATAACACTAGAGAGAACGTAAGAATATTTTAACAAGAGTCACGTTTTGTTACGTATCGGTAGTTCCTCTATACCGGTGCTCTCTCGATGTATATCCCCTGCTCGTTAAAATGACAAAGACTCGGATTTATTCCAGATACGTTCGCGAGCAAAGTGGCAGCTTGCCAGGACAAGTACGCCGACGCGAGCGTGGGCAACGTCACCGGGAGTAACGCGGTGAACGTCTTCCTGGGGATCGGCGTCGCGTGGAGTATCGCCGCCATTTATCGTGCCTGCCACAACGAGCCGTTCCTCGTCGAACCCGGCAAGTGAGTAAAGCGATCAAACAATTACAGGATCACCAAAGAATGCTCGATTCGCTGTAGCATCCGAGAAGCAGTTCCGAGCATGATTCACTGATTTCTGAAGCTGTATCGCCAAATCATTGAAAGCTGCTGCTGAGACACTTTTTAACATCGATAATAATATTAGAGATAATATCAATTTTATATCAAATTTTTCGAGAAAATTAAAGCATTTCTGGCGATATATTCTGGGTTAATTAAGAGGTGTGTGTTTAATTAAGCTAGACAATTTTCGCGGACACGTTTTCAGTACACGATCGATTCGGCATCGTCACGATAGAATCGGATAAGATCCACGATGATGTTGGAGGAGACAATATTAGGTCAGATTAGAGCAAAATGGCGACATGTCCTCGATAACCAAGCGTCATTTCTCATTTACGATACCGTTGGTGAAACTATTCCCAAGAAATTTGATCGAGGCATCACGACAAGCAACTTGGACGATGTTGCAACCGTGTGTCACCGTCATTGCACCGCGTTAAGGGGTCATGCCTAGTAGACCGAAAAAAGTATGATGTTTGAGAATTTTTTTTTTAAAAGTATAATAATTTTCTTTTCAGAAATAAATTTTTATTCAAAAATACAAATATTAAGGTTGTTATTATATTTTTATTTAAATAAAATATTAGAAAATGTAAAAATTATAATTATTCTCCCAAATACTATTTTTTAACAAACGCTGCGCGGTGAACAATGTTATTCGAAGCTAATTCATCTAATATCAAAAATTCCATAAACTGTAGTTAATGTATGAAATTGTCCAGCAGATGAACGAAGGATTAATCGAAAAATTGTTTTGGGACAAAATGGCAGCCATTTGACACAAAGATATTCTTTTTCGACTTAAAAAATGCTCATTTTTTATTAAATAAAAAAAAGTTATTAAAAAACAAAATCCTTCGTTCATCTACTAGGTTTTTATATGTAGAAGAAACCTGTAAAGTTTTAAGCAAATCGGTGTAACGGCTTTCGAAATATCTTGCTCACCGACTTTGAAAAAGTGATTTCGAAAAAACACGTTTAAGATTTATGTCAAGTTTACGTTTAAATAAAATTTAAATAGATTTTTTAATTTACACAGAATCATCTATTCCGGGTCCATATAATTTTAGTTTATTTAAATCTTTATATATTGGCTTGATAGCCCTCAAAACATCAAAGTTAAAGCTTTATTGTCGTGTTTAAACGAAGTTATAAATTCTTTTAGGAAACTTTTCAATATGATACTTAAAAAAATATAAAAACATAAAAATCGGTTTTTTTACTTTTATGACTAGGCATAACCCCTTAAGAGATGATGTATCGACGGAAGAATTCAAAATCAGTTGTTTATCTGTCTTATTAATAGATGTTACGCCATTTTGATCAGAGAACTGCTTTGGAATTCGTAAATTCTCCATTAAAATGGCCGTATTCGAATGTTCAACATTTCGTGGGCGTTATTTCGCCTGGAAAATAACGTTGTTTAGATGTCGTCAATTGCGAATCCCTGCTTCGCAATTTTCTATTCAGCTAGAATCCCATTTTACGAGGATCTCGACGGGAGTTGCCGCTCCCAAGATTTAACTTTGTATCGGATAAAATTTTCGCGAAAATCGACGACAGATGTGCACGAGAGGTATTTCGTATTTTAATAAATTAAGTTACATCGCGTGCGCTGTATTAATCCAAATAATTTCGCAAAGAGTAAATTTCAGTTCTCGATTTCCGGAAAAAAAAATTTAAACGACAAGTTGTCAGTTCATGGTGCGTGGTTATCGAACTTGCAAATGCCCATCCGTCGATCGACCTTAAACGAGAGTCAAGTTTCGACGCTGCCGATCCGGAATTGGGAATGAATCTGCCATCGCGGCGTAAAAGTTTTCCCATTTATCTTCGTAGCGAGAAATCTCGCTGAAATCTAGAGTTTGAAATCTCAAGAAAATAGAAAGAAAATGTCCCCTGGTAAATTTTTATATTTATCTAATAGACGTACGATATTTGTTCGAGCATAAATAATGAGATTTCGATCAAAGATGTCGATTAAATGGCATTAATTTTCAAGGTTTTCAGGAATTTCGAAAAATATTGTTTCAAGAAAGATAATTTTAGTCATCATAAAGTTCAATATTTTGCAGTTGGATCTTTCTCGCGATCGCATCTCTCGCTCTAAAATTCCAAGTACAGGGCTTTTCCACAGCAATACTCATGTGACACATTTTATGACGCAGCCTGGCCTTCTCTGTCACCATATTCTGCACCGAGGCCTGCCTGGTGATCGTGGTGCTGATGGTGAGGCGAATGAAGTCGATCGGCGGCGAGTTGGGTGGACCTTTTTTACCCAAGATCGTCACATCCGTGTTCCTGTTCTCCCTCTGGTTGCTCTACCTCATCATGTCCACCCTCGAGGCCTACGGCGTAATCCAGGGCTTCTAAACTAAGAGAGAGGCCCGTGCGACGCCATTACGTCGGCCTATCCACTGCGTATATATCTTAGCTCTGGCGTCCGCCAAGGCGTGTGCTCAACGAAACTTGTATCCGGTAAGTCTGTCGATTGCTCCGACATTTTAGGACGCTTCCGTTGCCGTGCGCTTCGAGATCGTGCTGTGTTTATTTCTGGAAAATCGAAAACCCATCGCGCTGTGTTTATTTCTGGAAAATCGAAAACCCCGTTACCAAGGCGCCATTAAAACGTCAAAGATGTTGTTTCAAGCTGTTGAATTCAACTGCTATGAATATCAATATTATGACCGAATATTACGAGGCTAATTCACCAAGATGTCTTAAGCCAAGATTAAATATAGCGAATGATCGCTATCGTGCAGACAGCCTTTTGTACGTTCGACGTACAATGTTTCCACGTCACTTACATTCGAATTAATTCGAATTTTACGCAAATTAACAAAGAATTTTTTACACTAACAAATCGAAATATATTTTTCGATTTTATTCGGAATACATATAATACGGAAGAGCAATTTACACTGCAAATATTTTTCTCTCTTAACAATTATTATATTATTAATTCTTAATTGATTATTCTTATCCAATTTTTTTTCTTAATTTAAGCCAATTTTTTACATCTTTTTTGGGGACCTAATTCCTTTAAGGGATTATGCCTAGTCATAGAAGTAAAAAATTCCTTTAAGGGATTATGCCTAGTCATAGAAGTAAAAAAAAACCAATATGTTTTTATATTTTCTTGAAGTATATCATATTGAAAATATTTCCTAAAAGTTTCAAATTAATCGGATGTAAATTGAGGGAGTAAGTGTATCTTTCATGAAGTATCAGAATCTATAATTTCGTTTAAACACGACTATGAAGTAAACTTGACACAAATCTTAAACGCGTTTTTCTCGAAGTCACTTTTTCAAAGTCGGTGAACAAGATATTTCGAAAGTCGTTACACCGATTTGCTTGTAACTTTACAGGCTTCTTCTACGTATAAAAACCTAGTAGTGAACGAAGGATTTTGTTTTTTAATGAATACTTTTTTTTAGTTAATAAGAAATGAACAATCTTTAAGTCGAAAAAAATATCTTTGTGTCAAATGGCTGCCATTTTGTCTCAAAACAATTTTTCGATTCCTTCGTTCATTTGCTAGACAATTTCATACATTAACTATAGTTTATCAAATTTTCGATATCAGATAAATTAGCTTCAAATAGCACTGCTTTTTTTAAAAAACAGTATTCGAGAGAATAGTTAGAATTTTTACATTTTTTAATATTTCATTTTAAAAAAATAAAACTGACTAGACATAACCCCTTAACAATTATATTATTAATTTCTAATTATTCTTATCCAATTTTTTTTCTTAAATTAAGTTAATTTTTTACATCTTTCTTGGGAACCTAACTCCTTTAAATTCCTTCTCACGTCCATGTAAGTCTTTCTTTAAAAGTCTTCCCCGATTTTGATTGCAGGATACAGAAGCGGAATCGGAATGGCACGATTCCGCGAAGAACAAATTCTGAACTGTGCCGGGAACTTACATAAGTTCACCCCCAACCTGAGACAATTAACAACGAACGTGATCGCGTGACGTATTAAATGCGTGGATATACGTGTATGTGTGTGCGTATGCGTGCGTGTAGATACCTGAGAGCGCAAGTGTGCGTGCTTGCGTGAATCCGTCTAATGAAGAAAATAAAGAGAATCGATCGAGGAGAGAGAACGAACGGAGGAGGAAAAAGTAACGAGATGGGGAGGTGTGCACGAGAAAGAAGAAGTGAGTTTGCCTTAAAATTATTTCAAAAAGAAGGAAAAGGATAAGTGCGTTCTAGTCAAGCCGTATTCCCCGCGAGGAGAATTTGGCCGGAATCAAAAAGGAAAAGAGGAGGAGAGAGTGAAGATAATATTAATAAGTATTTCTTTTTTGTGCACGCGGTCAAATCTCGCGAATATACGTGTATTTATTTAATCCTCCAAGGAGTACAGGGGTTTCTATGGTATTTTAGCAGCGAACTGTATTGTGTCAATTTCTTTTTCTCGCCGGATAACGACTGTAATCGCTAATTTTACTCGTATGTATTATTGTACGATATTCCTTTTATGCCGAGGGAATCTTTCGTCGGATCGATTTTCGATTATGTCAGAAAGATTTCCAAGGAGTGCGAAAGCACGTGAACAACTATTGAACCTAGTTGCAAAATAGGACCACCTTTGAAAATCAAATTTTTAATCTCTCTCTCTCTCTCTCTCTCTTTTTCTCTCTCTTTCATTTCAATTTATATTTTAAAAATTAATTTCCAATCTAATATATTATAATTCTGATCGTTAAATTATTGTATCCGTTGGAAGAATCTCTTTTCTCGACGCAAGTCTTTTGGTAAAGTGTATTTTTTATTTTTAGATTTGCGATGAAACGCCAAAATAGAACTTGTAGTCTTTGGTATACGAGAAGTGGCGATTGGTCGACGTTGCATAACCACGTCGGACTTGCGGTGAAATTCGAAAAAATAGTGCATTTTTGTCGTCGCAACAATTGCACAGCCACAAAACGTGTGTAGGCGTTTCTATAGCACACGCGTACGGATCTAATCGGATTTGCCGTTTTCGTGCGATTTGCCGGTTGGTCAAGGTTGCCGGATTCTTTCATCTCGGATCTAGAACAGCTGATGTCATTGCCATCTGTCATGTGTGAAATGAATAAATAAACAACTTTTTGACAAAAAAACTACCGCAACTGTAAATTGCGCGATTCATTTTACGTGTAAAAGATCGGATAAGCTTCCGAAGTGGGGCGAAAAATTGTTAAAATCTTTTTTAGAAAATTTTTTTTTCAATGCAAATGCCATATGCACGGTTTAGATTTCAAAGTGAGACATGGCATAGTAGAATTTAGACCTCAGGCAAGCCCATTGACGACTTGTAAATCCCTCTCAGCGTTCGCGACGAGAAATTATACTTGTTCAGATTAGATTTTTACATAGAAATGTTGTAGACTAGGTTTTCATTAATATGATGATCAATGTTAATGATGTCTGAAAATCATATCTTTCAAACTTTATATAGAATAATTTACAGAGAGCATTCAAGGAGTAATAATTACTTGGATTTATGAATCCTTCATTTCATTATTCAAACATTGATCAAACAACTCCCTTTATCGCTTGCCATTATCTCTTGAAAATTTCAGCATTAATTAAATATGCATAATTATAATATGCTTCATTGAACTTGAAGGAAGTAAAACTAGCAGTTAGGACAATTATATTATTTTTCTAACAATTCAACAAGTGTAAGTATTTCCTAAAAATTCATAAAATTACTGAATAACTTTATTGACGAAATATAGGTTTAAATATAGGTTTATTTCTTTCAAAATAGATCTCTCTCTTAAACTTCAAAAACTTAGACTTTAAAAAACGTAATAAAAAAGTCTCAAAAAAAGATGCAAAACATTAATTGTACTTTTTAATCTTTCAAATATTCTACAGATGGATATTTTCGGACACTCATCAGATATTTTTATCATTTTCTTACGAACGTAATTAGAGAGGGATTTTAAGATTATCGTCAATCGGGAGACAATGTGAATTGTTAACAAACTTAATAACTATCTTGCCAGCAAGATCGCGTTATTAAATACCAGCAGAAACATATTTACAATTGTTAAGCTATAGATATCACGACAAATGTTGATTAGACTTGTCCCTCCCCTCTTTCCCCCGCGAGTTGTATCGCGGTCTTCGTTCGAATGTATAAATCGCACTCGTTTTCCAAAATTACAACGTAGAGAATTACATACCGATGTGTAATCTAATATATACAGAGTGTCAGGGCAATCTCTTCCCAAAAAAGCTCTTATAGCTTAACCTCGAGAGCTTTCCAAAACACTATAATAAAGTATCTTTTCATCGAGTATTTTTCGAATTATGAGACTTGAAATAATCTTTTAATTTTTACATAAACCATAAAATATCTAGTAAATTTTTCGATTACCTTATCTCAATACTTTTATGTACAAAATAATGAGAGGAATCAATTGATGTGACGAAAACGCATAACTGTTCCGAAAAGAAAAATATGTAAATGTTAATTGCAAATTACATATTTTTTCTTCGAAACAATTATGTATTTTCTTTACACCAATTGATTCCTTTCATTATTTTGTACATAAAAGTATTAAAATGAGATAATCGAAAAATGAATATTTTACTAAATATTTTATGGTTTATGTAAAATTAAGAGATTATTTCAAGCCTCATAACTCGAAAAGTACTCGATGAAAAAAATATTTTATTATAGCATTTTGAAAAGCTCTCGAGGTAAGCTGCAAGAGCTTTTTTGGGGAATATATTGACACCCTGTAAATACGGAATCAAATGTTTGGAATTTTTGTTTTACGCGATTATATTCTCATAATTCTATCAAAAGTTCAAATTGCATATCGATATTATGAGAAAAATATGATTCTTTACGATATTAATTTTGAGAAGAGGAGGCGTAAAATGTTCTCGTTGGTCTTCACTGCCTTTGATCGAGGATCGCGTCATACGCGGGGCGAACAATTATGCAACAGTTATTCGAATTGGGCGCACTACGACCCGATGACACTCATTTTAGGATGTCGATACGATAGTATCGCTTCAACATCGCATCTGCATACATAATCTGAATTCAGAGTGTATGCCAGTGTATCCCCCTCCCCCTTTTCTCCGCCTTACGCGATCAGTATTGAATTTTAAGTTTACAATTGTTACAAGAATCTCGTACGATTTTCGGGGGATTTTTAGAGTATGTCTAAAAATAGGTGGCCATTTTTAGAGAGCGCGACATGTTCTGTGGACAGAAGCAAAGAAATACCTCGTATGAACATGATTCGAATATTATCGCTAACATTTTGTAATCGTTAACAGGCTTTTGTAACGTACACCATGAAGGAAGAAATTATTTCTCACACACACACACATACACACACTCTCTCTCTCTCTTTCATCCCCCGCCCTGTTAATTAATCTCAGATTTAATCTCTGTCGTGTGGTCTTAAGACGAGGTGCTCTCTCTCATAAAGGATGTCGCTTTAAAATTGTTGCATAAACGAGAGTAAGCTCGTCGCTTATTTGTTTCTGTATCAACCTACATCTGAAGTGACAAGTACGATATATTTAGTGGCTGCTACAAAATACTACGAAAGACGACGAATAATCGATTTACAGAGCTAATCCTGATTAGCATTAATCCTGATTCTCAAGATAGCTTTATCTAGATAAAAACAGATTTAAAGAACGACCGCGAATCGTTGTTACTTTGCTTCATGGTGTAATTTTGCTCAATGAAACTCTCTCGTTCTCTTTTACCTTCTCTCTTTCTTTCTCTTTCTTTTTTTACAGTCGTATTGGATTATGACGTCAAATATAAAAGATTATGCACCAGTTCTTTTTGCATATTCCAGATGATCCCCTAAATTAATGAGACAATGAACGCGTATAATCATCTCGATTTATAAAATCGCTGTTATTTTACAACATTTAAATCGTGTTTCACTTGCTTAATGTATTCATGTTATTTAATCAATTAATTTTGGGAATGCCATTAATAGAATCAGCTCTTGCAAAACATGATAATAAATGTTTATTTATTATCATATTTTGCAAGTTAAATGTCTGTAAATTAATTGTAAATTAATTTTAATTTTACATTTTACATTTTAGCTTGCTTTATCAAACTTTAATGAATGAGAAAAAATTTTGCTTGCTTTCAGACATAATTTGAAAAAATAATTTATATAATCTTTTGATTGTGATATCATAATGCAACATGACTGGAACATACATGTATCTAGTCAAATCGTCGGATCGATTTAGTTGATTTATTTAAAAATTCATATCGTGCTTTTAGAAAAAAATTTTAAGTCGTTTTAAGTTCGATATATTCTGTTTTTTCTTTCAAAATATAAAATTTCTTTTCCGTCCCAAGAAAAAATCGCTTCCACTCAATTTGATATATTAATTAATATGACTGCTTGACGTACATATCAACATTTATATTAATATTTATTAAATGTTTCTAATTAGATAAGGCACATTAAAGTCAAGAAAAATACAAGTGCAAAGCTTTCAGTAGAACAATATTTTAATTAATTATATTACGTTAATTATATTTTCGCTCAATATATTTCGTATAATGTTATGTCAAATTATTACATAATATGTTAAATTAATTTATTTTTTATTATAGTATACAATAATTTATACGTACTTATTATGCAAAAATAAAAAGTTTTTAGTAATAAGAGAATGTGACAAATTATTATAGTACAATATATCAAATTTTCAAATATTGAATTATTAAATAAAGAAAAATAACAGTACGTTTATTAGAAGCAAAAGTTGCATATTTGGATACAAAATATATTCAAGAATACTCAAATTAAGTATAATTATCGAAATAATAATTTAAATTATTTACAATATTAATTATTTTTATAAGCATCACTGTATGTTATAAAATTTATTATGTTTGTACACCATTAATATTTTTTTCCATTATTCTTGGCCTTATTATAAAAATAATTTAGAATCTAAATTTGATTGAAATAAATAACTGACTGCAATATTATAATTATATATGTTGTCAAGTAAATCAATTTTTTGTTAATTTTAATCTTCAAATATTGTGATAGCTAATTTAATTTTGCAGCTTTTCAACTTTATTTCATCATTCATATGTATATATGCGATTATCTAAATATATATAAAAGTAATGAAATTAAGTCTGCTTTCCAATTAATATAAAAGACATTTAGTTTTCAATAGTTTGATTTTTGTTTTAACGCTATAGTAGACGAATTTGTCTATAGTACTTTTGATTAAAAATTTTGAAAGATTCCGTCCATTGGATCAATATTATATTATATTTGTCGATTTTTTTCAGTTTAATAAATCTTTTGAAATTATCGGTTTTTTCTTTTTTGTATTCCTTTGCGATTTTCCCTTTATTCCTATTAATGTTACAACTTATGAATTTATGTTAATCAATCAACTGGCATACAATCACAATATGTGTTATTATTTAACATATTATAATTACATATTATAATAATATATTATAATTAGTGAGAACATATTTCTTACAGATTATACTTAATTTATCGGTTTTAAATTTTGCTTTAAATATGAGATTTCATTTGAAATAAATTTTGCTTTAAATTATTATCTCTTTAACTCATTAAAAATTATGTCGTTTTTTCTTGTATTTGAATTTTACAATTTCAACTTTTCTTTCTCGTCGTAAATCAAGAAAGAGTACAAAATAATTTCCTATTTTTTTAATTTTATCTCTATTTACAATTCGAATATATTCTTTTTATTTTATTTTAATTTTATTTTATACGTGTATATATTTACGGTAAATGGCTGAACAGAAAAGATTCCGAAAGAGAAAGAAAGAAAGGTAAATTGAATGTACGAGAAAGGAAGAGAGATATAATACGTTTAATTCAATAGCAAGGAAACGTAAAATGGGAACTTATAATGGCAAAGAAAGTTTCCGCCATTAGTCGACAAATTAAGTTAAACGCAATGATTTCTCAACCATAAGATTTTTCCGCGTTTAATTTACTATTTATTGAAAGCAGAGAACTTTAACCACCCCTTTACCTTTTCCATCAAGCTCAAGATAAATGTCGAAAGATGTTTCCGACCGCAGCCACGCAGAAAGAAAGAGCAAACGCTTGTAAAAAGAAAAAAAAATGCGAGCACCCATACAGCACAGGCCATTGTTGTTACATTGCAGCAATATTGCCGCAATATTGCTGCAATGTAACAACAATGGTCTGTGCTGCATGGGCACACACAACAGGCGAATAAATATTTTATTAATCCGAGTTTCGCGATAGTTGTGTATTATGTAAGTATGTATGTGCGCGTTACACATTAAGGCGTACACAGAGAAAGACACTCAATAGCAAAGCGTTCAAGTGATAATACAGTAAACGGGATCCGAGAGCGTCTCCCGAACCTTCGTCGCTCGACTGCTGGACCGATTGGAACGCTGTTTACGCGAGAGATAGTTTTAGCCAAGATAGTTGTATAGCTACGAGTAAATTTCCCGATACGAAATGTGCTCCAGGTGGCCGAGAGAATGTTCCGAACGCGTTATGTATGTACGCACTGTACAACAATGGCGTCTCGATCTCTTTGTTCTCCGGAGAATCCCGCAACAATTAACTCGACGTGGAAAAATGAGTAATCCACCCTGGTCTCCTCGTTTTCCTTTTTACGTCACACGCTGGACGTGATACAAATATCAAAAAAAAAAAAAAAAAAAGGGAGAAAGCGAAAATTACGACAAATTTATTTTTGTAAAATATTTTCCGCGCAACGTTCGAACTTGATTGGCGCGCCTGGTTGCACCTGAGAGAATCGGAGGCGACAGACGAATGGAAATAATTAATCGAGCGTAATCAAAAGTGCTACACGTACCTCAGCGCTCGTTTGCATTGCAGCGTCGTCGACGAGGATTCAACAATGACGTACGATCTCTCTCTCTCTCTCTCTCTATTTCTGTCTATCCCTCTCTATCTCTTTCTACTTCTACGTCTTTTCATATCTATCTATCTATTTATCTATCTACCTGATTTTTCCTTCTCATGTCTACTCCTGTCTCTCTCTTTCTCTTTCTCTTTCTCTTTCTCTCTTTCTATCTCTCTATTTTCAAATACCTGATTGAAGAGTTTAGAAGAAGAATGCAATCTATTATTTGTTGTAAGTAAGCATTCTTAAAAATTTTAAAAATTTGAATAAAAAATAGAATTTTCTAAACTCTTAAATATGAAATCATCCAATTTAAAGTAGACCTTACGAAATATGGATTTACATCTTTCCTATTCTTACGTAATTCTTTCGATTCTCTTTAACT